GACATATGTCAATGGTAGAGTGCTTGTCTAGCATGAGCAAAGTCCTGGGCTCCATCTCTGATATTTTCAGTCCCCCAGTCTCCTGCTTCCTGCCTCATTTGCCCTGAGCCCTAACAACAGGGACATTGGCTTGCAAGTTCCCACCACCCACTGACTGGAACTCCACGCTGAGTCTCCCAGGATCAGTTTTTTCAGCTGGGAAATAGAAAAGAGTCCCTCACTCACAAACTCATGAACATTGTGTGAGTGACATGGACTCTGGGAAATAACTGTGAATTCTAGACTCTCCCAGCAAACCTCAGGTGCTTCTCTGGTAGTCTTCCTTTCCACACCCAGGCTCTTTACCAGATCTCCCTTCTGGGAGGAACCAGATGCTAGGTAGAACTGCTTCTCCCAGAAGGGAAGTGAGAGAGGTGAGGGAAGTAAGTGTTCTGTTCTAGCATTAACGGGTTCCTTGACTTTCTGGATAGGTCCTGTCCTAGTGAACTGTTGTTACTCATGGGTGTGTATGGAAAATAGTTTAGGTAGAAGCATTGTGTATGAGCCCAGAGAGACTGAGACTGTTTAATAATGGATCAGCAAAGAATTACTAAGCGCTTCTTTTATGCCAATGCCTCTTAGCCACAACCCAGCCCTACCAGAATGTTTGATGGGCACTCAAGTTCATGATCTGCTTTTACTATGCAGAACTCCACAGAGGAAGCCCCAGGGTGGGTCAGCTAGCTCATCTGCTCATAGACCCCAGCACCAGTGTGCACCATGCAGGGTCCCTTGGGGGAAGCCCCAGGGCATGGCAGGAAGTAGAGGGAACAAGGAAAAACCATAGAGAGCTTCCACTGCGGTTTCCACAGGAAGGGCAGGGCAAGGAGAGTGAGCAGAGTTCAAATGGGCTGTTTTGGATAACTTCAAGGCTCTTGGGTGTGGGGTTGTCTCTAACTGACTCCTTCCTGGGAATTATTAGGCAGGGGAAGATCCTAGCATAGGGGCCTGATAAGGGAGATGGCTGTGGGTATGGGCTCCTCAGGTGTGGTGCATTTTAAAGGCCAGCTCACAAGCAATTTGTTGCCTCTTTCTAGTAACAGCTAACCCTGGGAGGGGTAGGGCCAGACCCTCCAGGATTAGCAAAGCCTGAAAATACAGAAATTGATAAATAAACACTGTTGAGCTGGGCATGGTGATTGCCCCTGTGGTCAGCTACTCAGATGATGGCTCAGGCCAGGAATTCTCCTTGCAGTCAGAGCTGCTGCTCAGTAGACCCTGTTCACAGGGGAACGAGGGAAGCCCATGGCCTCACTGTTGTTGCAGTAATGGGGTCATGTCTCTCTAGTGAGTGGCTGTTATGGAACTCTTCCTACGATGTATTTCAGTAGACACCTGTCATTTCCTACCCTCTGCCTAACCTGTCCAGAACCCTGAGCAATGCACAGGTGGAGACGTGGTATTTCTTCTTGAGTAGGGTTCTGGCAAACACAGGGTGCACACATGCTGATCTTCATCCATGTAGGCAGCACAGCAATCTTCTGTCCAAGCCAGCAGGATGCTACTTAGAGTCCTTCAGGGCATGGTACAACAGGAGCAGTTTGTTACTCTGGCTCTAAAGACCCTAGTCTATATAGAGAGATAGGCCAGAGGAAAGAATAAGGGAGGCGCTGATTGATTCATGAGTGACAGAGGTAAGGAGCACTTGAGCAACATGGAAGGGGAAAATTGCCTGCACTGGAGGAAACTGAGCAGATACCGTGGAGGGGTTAGGAGATGGGCCTCAGAATGCTTGTCCTAGGCCTGAATCAGGGATGAGGACCACAAGGTCAATGGATTGCTTGATCAGAGGGGCAGGGCAGGAAGGTGTGGGTCTGTCTGGGAACTGTGGGCAGGTGACTTGGAATTCGCTGGTTAGCAGGCCACAGGGCCACTGGGAGCCTTCAGCAGAGCCAAGAATGCTGAGCTGGAATTCAAGGCCTGTGTTCTAAAGCAGAGGGAGAAATGTGAGTTCAAGACAGGTCAGGAAGAGGAGGGTTAAGTGCAAGTGGCTTAGAACAGGGAGTGCATCTGGGGCTTCAACCCTGTAGGTGACATGGAGGCTAGTTTGGGGGACTGGGGACCTAGAAACCAAAGAATAGAGAAAGCTGGGATGGAAGCACAGAGTTAAAGCTGGTCTTGTTTTGAGCCTGAATGGTTTGGAGGGACTATAGGGCATGAACCATGATGTGTGGGGTGCAGACAGAAGAAAGTAGCTCATGAATGACTACATGAAGGGAACTGAATTAGATTCCAGAAACTGTATATACTGAGTGTGGTGGGCCTGTGTTTCCAGCTATTGGAAAAGCTGAAGCAGGAGGACTGAGAGTTCAAGGCCAGGCTGGGCTACAGAGTGAGTTCAAGGCCAGGGTGGGTTACAGAGTAAGTTTGAGGCCAAGGCCAGGCTGGGCAACTTAGTGAGACTTGTCTTTAAAAAAAAATTTAAGGGGGGAGGGGATAATGCCAGAGAGATGGCTCAGCAGTTACAAGTATATACTGCTCTTGAAGAGGACCCAAGTTCAGTTCCCAACACCCACACCAGGTAGCCTTGAAATTGCCTCTAACTCCAGCCCCAGGGGATCCAATGCCTCTGGGTACTTATACTCTTGTGCACATACCCACAAACAGACATAATTAAAAAATAAAATTTTTTTTAAGTGGGGGCACTACAGATATATATCATGTCTAGCATAAGCAAGGCTCTAAGTTCAATCCTCAGAACTGAAAATAAGTAAATAAATAAATAAAATTCAGAAATAGACTGGGCTCAAATAAAGCAGGAACTATAATATAGACATCGTAGTTCAGGCATTCTGCTTCTGAGCAGACTCAAAAGATGAGGAAGATGAGGAAGTGTGGTGTATATGCAGAGCACTAATCAGTACTGGCAAAAGTGGGAACAGCCTGAGTACCCATGGGAGGGATGAGTGTGGTTGGTCCTGCAGTGGAGGCTATGTGAGGAGCTCTCGGACAACACACAGGGCCTCTGAGGACATGATATGTGTGGCTCCACTCCCAAGAGTTCCCTTGAGCAGGACAGTGGTTATGGGTAAAGGGGGTGGACAGATAGTGCTAAATGGCTATATTAGTCTGCTAGGGCTACTATAACAACTTCTGCAGACTGGGTGGCTTATACACCAGGAGTTTCTTTATCCAAACTGCTAGGGGTTGGAAATCCAAAGTCAAGGTGTGGGGCTCTCCTGAGGCCTTCCTGCTTGGCTTATAGGTGCTATCTCCCTGTGCCCCCAGCATGCTCATCCCTCAAGTGTGTTTAGATCCAGATTTCTCTTTTTTATAAGGACACCATAGGGGCTGGAAAGTTTCAGCAGTTAAGAACACTTGCTGCTCTTCCAGAGGACCCAAGTTCAGTTCCCAGCCCTCATATCAATTGGCTCACAACCACCTGTAACTCCAGTTCCAGGGCATCTGGACACTATCTTCTGACTTCCTTAGACACCTGCACATGTGTGGTACATATACAGACAAGCATGCACATACATATAAAAAAATTTAAAAATAAATAAGGACACCAGTCACATTTGGTCAGATAATCTTAACTTGATTCCCTTTTAAAGAAAAATTTTATCCCAACCATAGTGACAATCTTGGAGCTAGGATTTCAGCATGGTGAGGGGGGCAAATAGCAGAGGTCATAGGAATGGGTGTGGAGTTTCAGTTTGGGAGTATGGTAACATCCCAGTGGTAGATGGTAGACTCACAACAATGTGATTGTCCTCAGTGCACTGAGCTGGGAAAAAAAAACAGCATAGTGCAATTTCTGTGAATACCTTTACCACAAATATAATAGGTTTTTAAAAAGTGGAAACTTCAGACTGGAAAGAGGCCTGGAGGCTTTGTTCTGAAGGTGGTGAAACTGCGAGAGTATGGACAGAAAAACAGGTAGCTGGGCAGCTAGGAGTATAGGGAGGCAAGGGGATAAGCCAGAGGCGAGCAGAAGTTTTGGAGCCTGACCAAAGCAGGGTCTCCAAGTTGGGCTCTGGGCATCCCATCAGTTCTAGGTTTGGCAGTCCCTCTCTGCTTGTACTGTAAAAGGAGTATTCTTGCCCCAGTGGCTGCTATGTCCTTTCCAGTCCTTTCCAGGAGGTGGCTGAGGCTGTGTGAGCAACACTCCTGGCTCCTGGCAGCCTGCTGTAGCCACAGCCTCTTGTGCTAGCCCCTTCTTTGGAAACTGGTCCATCGTGCAGTTTCCAGACCTTCCCCAAAGCTACCAGAAGCCTTTTCTATGGCGGCTGAGGCCCTTTACAAAGTGAAAAAGTGGAGAGACCCTAAGCAGAGGACATAGGGGAAATGATGGATTGACAACCCCAAGGGGGGCTGGACATGGCCTAGGTTTGTTATTGCTTCGTTGAGATTCCTGTCAAGCACCACTGACCATCTTCTTTTGATCTTGCATTTGCTGTGGAGGGGGACAGAACACACCTGTTGAGAGACGGCCACTGAAGCACAGCTGGGAGGGGCAAGGAGCCTGGGACCCTCCCCCAAGAAGCTGAGCCTCATTAAGGCGTACTCTGTGCCTACTTCTTCCTCCTTCCTGGGAAAGCTGCCTGCAAGGAAGGGCTCATGGGCGGGTACACATCCTAGCTGTACACTATTGAACAAATTCCTTAGCTGCTCTATGCCAGTTGCTAAAAGGAGAGGATTCTGTCATCCATGAGTGATTGGGTAGGTTAAATGGATGCATGTGTAGCACTCACAGATGACTGAACTTTTAAAAAATCTATTTTATTTTATGTGTATGAGTGCTTTTCCTATGTGTATGTAAGTGTACCGTGTGCTTACAGTGCCTGAGGAGACTAGAAGAGTACGTCAAAGCCCCTGGAACTGGAGTTACAGTTAGTCGTTAGCTGCCATGTGGGTGCTAGGAACTGAACGCAGATCTTTTGTAAGAGCGGTCAGTGCTCTTGACCACTGAGCCATCTCTCCGGCCGTGAACCTGAACTCTTTTTCCTGTTCCTTTCCAGTTGGCCATGGGCAGAGCGAGGGGGAGAGGATGGTGGTGTCCGATTTCCAAGTTTTCGTCAGGGATGTGCTGCAGCACGTGGACACTGTACAGAAGGACCACCCCGGGCTCCCTGTCTTCCTCTTGGGCCACTCCATGGTAAGCAGACCACCAGAGAGCAATTCAAAGTCATCCTGGTCCCCAGCCAGCCATCTGACTTCCTGCCCCTCTGTCCTCCATCTGGGTGGTATGTCCCTTTTACACAACCTGTTCTTGGAATCCTCCTACTCTGCAGCATTTAGGAGTTAAGCACTTAGAAGTCCACTCTTCCGGGTCATGACTGGAAGGCCAGAAGGTGACCAGTCAGGCCTAACTGCAGAGCTCTGTGGGGCCTTGTAGGAAATTAGATACCAACCTCCTCCACCCACTTGTTGCCATTTCATAGTGAGACCACAGAGCCACTTCTTAGAGGAGGGAATGAATCCTTGGACCCTGAAAGGCACAGAGAATATCCCCAGCCCTGCAGTAAGGGGCAGGATCTTCTGCAAACAGTCCTGAAAACAATTCAGAGTCCCTTTTTTCTTTGCAACCTGAGATCCAAGAATCAACCAAGTTTAATCTCAGGTCAGAGATTCTCTACTGACAGCCCCCAGGGTAACTCCTTCCTGCAGAAAAGCTAGTCAGCTGGTGGGCAGAGTGCTAGGAACTGCCTACACCAGGGTGTCGCCTCACTGCCTAGCATCTCCAGTCTTACCTGCTAGCCCCACCTGTGTCAGTTTCCTCTGGACTTCAGACAAGACTTCTTCCTCCTGCCCCATCCACGTTCATTCAGTACTTGGTTTTCTTCCTAGAAACTGAATTTCTGGAATCTTTACTGAACCAGAAAAAAAGTATGACTACCTATTAGTATGATTGAACACCTCCCCTCAAAGAATCAACTCATAAAAACTTGTCAGAATGGGTGATGAGTTGTGGGCTTGAAACTAAAAAGGAATGTGTTATTGTTTCATTTGTGGTCCACAAGCGACTCACTCCTGTGAGCTCAGCACTAGAGAGGCTGAGGCAGGAGGATTGTTGTGAATCTCAGGCCAGCCTGAGCTATAGAGTAAGACCTTTGAAAGAAATAAAAGAGAGGAGGCAAAGGAAAGGGGAGAGGGAGGGAGGGAGAGAGAACGGGTGGGAAGGGAAAGAGGAAAGAAGGAAAGGAAGGAGGGAGGGGAAGAGTGAAAGGAAGGAGGAGAAGGGGAAGGAAGAAGGGAGAAAGGGAGGGAGGGAGCGAGGGAGGGAAGGAGGGAAGGAGAGGAGGAAGGCCAGCAAGCAGGTCTCCTTTATTCACCAGTGGGTGGAGTCTTTTCCAGGTCCCTCTGGGGCTCTAGACTAGTGTGGAAGCAGATGAGGGATTTGCAGTCATACCGGTTGGAAGCTGGTGCAAGCTGTCAGTAGCCACTTGGCCCATTTTGCTTTGCAGGGTGGTGCCATCTCCATCCTGGCAGCTGCAGAGAGGCCAGCCCACTTCGCTGGCATGGTCCTGATTTCGCCTCTGGTTGTTGCTAATCCAGAATCTGCAACAACTTTCAAGGTAAGAGGGCTTTGCAGTCTGTAGTGACACTGTGTACTTCTGGAACATGACACATCCACTTACAGCTGGAGTCTAGGTCAAAGGGTCCACAGTGGTCCCTGAACTTCAGACACTGTTGTATAAAGGTTTGGACACATGTCAAACACAATCACCAAGGCTCTCTAAGTTCTAAAGTCAGGTCTGTCTTTCCCCAAACACAGAAGAAAAAAGCCTTCCTGTTTGTGTGTTGTGTGGGCCAAAGTTAAGAGGAGGAAAGGTTACAGGCAGTCTCTGTCTGGCAGTTACATTTGCTGACAAGGCCCACGCAGGCAAGCACTGTGCTGCTTTCATAGATTGTTTGCGGTCTCAGCAGAAAGCTAACTCGGAGTGGGACTGCAGCTGAGGATCCTGTTCCTGGCTGCTCTGTACCATCCCTGGGCTCCTTCAGTCTCAACTTTCACAGATGCATGATTTTGTTTTTTGGATACAATGTGCCACGTGACTAGATCATGCTGTTGACTGTGGGGACTTTGGGTCCCCTTTAACAAGGTGACTGACACAGTAAATAATACCCAGAACACCTTCCAGCCCCCACCAAGATAGGAACTGAGGCCCTCCTCAGCTATTGACTTGGTCTAGGGATAGATCTATCCTTAGGAGGCATGAAGCTTAAAGAACCCCAGTGAGAAGCTGGGCGTGGTGGCGCATGCCTTTAATCCCAGCACTTGGGAGGCAGAGACAGGTGGATCTCTGTGAGTTCGAGGCCAGCCTGGTTTACGTAGTGAGTTCCAGTCCAGGTGGGGCTACAGGGAGACCCTGTCTCAAAAAGATAAAACAAACAAACAACCCCATTGGCCCTGTGTGCCCTAAGAAGTGCCCCAAGCCCAGCAGAGGCTGCTATGACCTGAGCCGGCTCTCAGGGTGCTCAGAGGGGAACAAAGGTGAGGTGGTAGGTCCTGGAACCAAGTGCACTGGGAAGCCTATGCTCTCACCTCCAAATGATAGGGTCCTCTTAATGTGACCTCTTATGCTGTTCTTTTGGAACCCACACAGTGAAACCCAGCACAGGGAGAGAAACCTTGTAGGCATGTCTTCAGAGTCCATCCTCCAACCAGGACTCCCAGGCATCAAGTAAGGCACTAAGGACCATAACATCATGGAAGGGTACGAGGGGTATGGCCTACTCAGTGTCTGTTATGATGGCTGTTATTCTGTGAGGTGAGGCCAAGGTAGTCCAAAGCTCTTTTCTAAGCAGACTAAGTGGGACAGGGGGTGGAGGGGAAGGCTCCAGCACATTCTTGTGGCCTCATGGAGACCTGTGTCAGGCAGCTACATAGTGTCAGACAAGGAAAGGGCCAGGACTGGTATACTGGGGGCAGGGACACAGAGGCTTGGAAGGAAGACATTGACCAAGATCAACTCTGGAGTGGTGGCTGTGAAGCCCACTGGGATTGTCTCATTATAAAAGAAAATGGATGTTTTTCCCTTAGAGAAAAGCTGCAGGGCCTTTCAGATAAAGTGCACTGGCAGGACACAGCAGCTGCGCCCAGAGGAGGACCACCAAGGTCTCCCCCCAGCATCCTATGGGTGGGGCTCCATGGAGGACCAGCAGCTGCAGGACTGCTGGGCACGGCCCTTGCCGTGACCTTTCGGGCCTGGTGCTAATAGATCACCTTGTCAAATCAAGAGCTGGAGTCTGGGGGGTGGGGGGGTACAAAGCACAGGTCTCCTCTGATTAACTAAAACAAATTAGATTTCCCTAGCCCTGCCGAGGGCTGGCCCTACCTCACGTCTGTTGCTGCCTCTGGCCTTCAGCCTATGTTGACTTTGACTGGCAGAGCCCCTGACTTTTTGGTGCACCTGCCTGGGACACTCTGCTGCTCTCCACACATGGCCTAATCTTCAGACAGGCTCCCTCAGAAAGGATTACAAGTCTTTTTTTTTTCCAATATAATTTTAAATGCTGAAAAATAATTAGTAGAATTCAAAACTGAAATGATGAAAAATGGTATGAAAAAAAGCCTGCCTAGGGGAGGGGGCCGCAGCCAGCCGTGCTGTCAGAGATAGCATTCTAGTCAGCACACACACACACACACACACACACACACACACACACACACCACGATTGTTCTTTCCACAGATGGGGGGATGCTTCACGTGCATTGGGGGCCTTCTTCCTTTCACTGGACTGCTTGTTCTTTGAGGAGTTTGCTTTCATTTTGTCATTTTTCTTGAGCTGTATGTCTTGGTGGTCTTTACCCCATCAAAATCTAAAAAAGGTCCCTTCTGTAGACAAGTCCTGGTTTAAAGTTCCCTGAAGGTTGAACTTCAGCCCATTTCCAATTGCTTAGCCTCACAGATGGAGTGGCTATTTGCTGCCTGTTCCCTCCTGTGCTCTGGGAAAGAAAGTGGGGGTAGGGTTAAGGGGCAGGGAGATTGAGGGGCGAAGGAGGCAGGGGATGGGGTTTGATGTTGGGGGTGGGGGTGGAAGGAGCTTCCCCATGATGCCCTGAGAATGGTCCCAGAGCCACGTGGAGTCCCAAGCTCATTCAACAGGGGCTGATGGGCAGCTTGGTGGTGGGCACTGGCCTCTAGTATGTGAACGTGGGACACAGAGTCTTCACATGCACATGGGTGTGCAAAGGTGACCAGCCATGCCCCTGGAATGGAAGGCTGCCCAGTCATCCCCCCCCAATTTTATCACCATCTGCTTCTTACATTGAGGCTCCATTTGGACAAACTGGGATATATTTAGCCTAGGGGAGAGACTGAGGACAAAGGCAGCAGTGCCCAGCACTCTGCTGAGAAAGTAGTTTCACAAGGAAAGTGGCAGCAACAGAAATTTAGAAACTAAAATTGCAGGGAACAAGTCTGGGCTGCTTATCAGCTCCTGGCTGCCCCCCCCCCCACCGCATACTTTCACATCAGTTTCTTGGCCTGTGCTTGTCAGTGATATCTCTGAGGGTGGGCAGCAGGTTGCAGAGCCCCTTCTTTCTCTGGGAACCTCGCGGGAGACAAAACTGTGCAAGAGCTGGGCTGGGGTTGTGCCCACCAGGAGCATCATCAGCGGGAATGCTCTTTCTGCTGAGGTCCCTGGGATCCTGGGCAGGGCTTTACAACACCCCATTCCCAGCCCAACTGTGGCCCTAGCTGAGGTGTGGAGAGGGACTATCATTAGGATACCTGGCTCTGAGTCAGGGCATGCACTGCTTCCTTCCAACACCACCTGCAAGGACAGGAAATGACGCCCAATTCTTAGGCCAGGAAATGAGATCATTTCTTTCTTGGGGTCAGCTTGAGCACTTCCTGAGCCAGTGAGCACTGGGTTACCCCCTTTCACCCTAAAACATGCCCAAGGTCAGCTTCCTGTGGCCGGATCCATCTGGATATCATGAACCATTGTCACTGGACTCCAGAGGACTCAGGGCGTCAGGGACTGGAGGGGTTAAGCGGTGGGAGACTTCAGGTGAGCTCTGTCAGGAGCCCAGCCCCCACCAGCTATGGGCCTGTACTGGCTGCAGGGGCAGCCACTATGACAGGGTGTGTGTAATTTCCCTTTGGTCTCACAGGCACCTGTGCTCTCTAAGACTTGCATTTCACATTCCCAGACCTGTAACTCAGAAAGCAAGCTCTCTACCCAAAGAGTCCCCACAGCATACTTAGGGAGCCCCTGCATGGAAAAGCATAGGACACTTCTACTGCCCAGCTGCGTAGAGGAATACATTCCCACCCAGGAAAATCTGAAGTGACCCCAAAGAGCCTTGCTGATGTGTCCATCCCACCACCCCAGTCATAACACTGCCCCCACAAAAGGAGTGGATTCCTGGTCTCCTGTGTGCAAGTCAGCTTGTATGAACCACATTAGAAGGTACAGACAGTAATTACCTTTCATGGCAAGTCCTTCACTAGCAGAACCTTAAAAATGATCAGAGGAGCCATTAAGACCTTTTGGATCAATAAAGGCATTTAAGTGTGTCTCTACTGTTTACAGTGACAGGCACTGCAGTTGATTTCTCTACTGTTTACAGTGAGAGGCACTGCAGTTGATTCAGAACCATCCCCAGGGTGTGACAGGGATCAAGGTGCGGGGGGGCACATACACACACACACACACACATACTCACTCACATCCCATGCCTCAGTTGTTGAAGAGGTTTTCTGTTTATAGAGTTTGCCTCAGTGATGGCAAAGCTTTGGATCACAGAGCTGGGTGCTGGGTACACACCTGTCATCTCAGCATTCGAGAAGTAGACACAGGAGGATGGTGAGTTCAAGGCCAGCCTAGGCTACAGTGTGAGACCCTGTCTCAAAGAACAACACAAAAGCTGCAGGTCAAAGACTTTTCCTATAGTCTCCATTTTGAGTTCTGTTTTGTGTCCTCATTCAGCTGACCAGCAAGAACTGACTGAGTTTCTCTTCTGGGACAGAAGCCAGAAAGGGAGTAAAGAACCAGCTCCATAGGGGTTAGTCTTGGGTAACTCCCCAGGAATCCTTGAGGCTGGGTTTGCCATTCCCATTTTACAAATGAAGAAGTAGGGTTCCATATGCTCCAACTATATACCACTCCAACTATACCACTCCTATAATGAATACAACTTACCCAGAGGAATCTAAATCAGCTTATCACAGAGACACCTGGATACCCAGGCTTACTGCTGCACTGGTCACAGCAGCCCAGGTATAGAACTAGCCTAGATGCCCATCAACAGATGATGGATAGAGAAAATGCTGTGTGGGACTGGAGAGATGGCTCAGCAGTTAAGAGCACTGGCTGGTCTTGTAGAGGACCTGGGTTCAGTTCCCAGCACCCACATGGCAGCTAACAACTGTTCATAACTCCAGTTCCTGGGGATCTGACACCTTCTTTTGTCCTCTATGGGCCTTACATGACATAGGTACACTTTCATACATACAGGCAAAACACTCATACCCATAAAAAATAAAAATAAATAAATAAATAAATAAAAAGAAAATGCTGTGTATGCACAATGGAGTTTTCCTCAGCTACAGAGAAGAACAAA